GTATATGTTCATGGGGGAGGATGAGAAGATTGGCATCATGTCACTGAGCATGTTAGAAACAGGCAAACTGGTATGTCTTCTGCTGTGTGTATTCTTAACAACCACAAAAGTCAACTGGAAAAAATTACCAAAACATCATGGAAGTGCACACCATAGAACAAACAGCAATTGTCCTATACACAATTTTAAAAATCCTTAGACACGCTGTATCCCTTACTGTGGTGATGTTGTGTCATGGGTCAGAATTGTGTCTGTGGAAGTAGGTGCACACATGTGTGTCAGAGCTGTGTGTGTATAAGAGTGTGCCCACAGGGGTGAGATGCATAAGTCCACATGTGGCTCAGAGCTGTATGTGTGTACAGGGGTCAGACTTGTGTGTGTGTACATGAGTGTGTACATAGGTCAGAGTTTGTGTGTGTGTGTGTGTGTCCTTACCCCTGCCCCATTCTGAGTCCCTTGGACTCTCCAGCCCCCTAAACTGCCTACTCACAATGGCTGCATTTCTTTGGCTGCAGTAAGAATTCACTGAGAAATGTACAGAAAGGCATAGTGAGGTCCCTGGCTCACAGAAGGTGACAAATAAACTTCAGCCACTCACCTGCCATGAGGCGTTCGAGTCCCAGTCAGTGCACCTCATGTACTCATCTGTCTGTAGAGACTTCTGTGATGCTTTGATGCCGAAAAGGTTTCAGTAGAGCTTCCTGACTAAGAGGGACTAGAAAGAAAGGTCTGGAAACCTAGTTCCAACAAATCAGCCAACAAAAACCCTATGGAGCACAACAGTCTGACCCACAGACAATTATGGGCATGCAACGTCCACTCTGCATGTGGCATCTCCATAAGGCAGGGCTCAGCTGGATGGCAGAAAACAACACGGAGCCCTGGTGGCACAATCATCCAGTGCTCAGCTGTCAATAGAAAGGTAGGTGGTTTGAACCCACCATGAAAGACAAACCTGGAGAGCTGCTCCTGTAAGCGTTCAACCATACCACTGCCATTACTGAATGAGCAGAAAGCATCAAAAGAAGATAGAAGGAATACACAGAGTCACTGTATCAAAAGGAAA